ATGTTCAGGACTATAACAAATTAACAAAAAATGCAATAGGTAGGTCCTGCATTCGGGGGTCGACCCGGATGATTAGCGGGAAGTTTGGAAGGCTAATGAAAAATGATAGAATATTGGATAGGAACAGAACTTTAGCTTTGCAACAGGCCACCTATGGACCCCGCAGAGTGTTGTTGCAAATATTCCAACCAGTCGGAAGAAGACCAACAGTTGCCATATTTCTATACCCCAGTCACCCTTTGGGTCCGAAAAACGACGAAGAGACAAACAAGTCCACAAAACACTACATAGAAACAAAATAGACTGAGCAACAAAAACCAAATCTAAAACCAGGGGTGAACGTGGGTGCACGGAAGGGTAGGCAGACCCTGCTATACATGTGGCCACCGTCATGTTGTTCATGGTAAGTACACTTTTGGTGATAAATCTCACTCAATGCTGCCACAGTCGTGGAAAAGAGGACAGACATGATTGTGGTCAAGACAATTGGAAGATTTCCGTGAAAGTCTGAGACACCGACATTTAATAACAGTTAACCAACTCGTGATGGCGTCCCTAAATTTTTCGAAAGAAAGACTTCGACTAATATAACTTGTATACCTGTGTACATGTTTTGATGTGTACGTTTGAATTTTTCCTGTGTTTTAATTGTGGTATTTTCAACATTTTATTAGCTTTGAGTAAGAACTGGTGTTTATCGGACAATGCGACATAACTCCAACATAAGTGTATGAACAACTGTATGTTTTACTACTTACATCTATTTTGTTATGCCCTTTGTTACAGGTAAGCATTAAAAAAAGATGAAAAAATGGATGCCAGTACGAAATTCAAAATATTTCGAAATTTCACTCATAGGAATGATTTTATTCAGGTTTCATTTTTTTAACCAAGTTATTTAAAAGGGAAAATATTTCAACAGAATAAAGACAGGCGGCCGACAAATCTGTAGTGAATACAATTGCGCACATTTGTCTTTTTGGTCAAATTCAAACGATCTATACAGATCAACACATGATGAATTGCAAAGTTTCAATCGAAATGGTGGCGTTATATTGAATGCTTTATGGTTTTAGAATACCATCAGCATGTTTAAAAGTCCTTTCAACATATCTTATGGAGGGGACATAAGTTACATATTTTGGGAAACCATTTTCAATGTTACCTAACACGCCCTTGCTCATAAAGTACTTTATTGTACAGTCGAATCTTAATGTGCATAAAATATTTGACAGTGGAATTTTAAAAAAAAATCACACACTCATTTAATCAAACAGCTTTTGGAGAAACATGGATCTCAAATGAAAATAACCCGAGCTATTTTTCGGTTTTTTTTTAAATTCCGTGTCAAATTCCGTGTCTTGTATTTAATATCTCAGACAAAAGGAAATATAGTTGTAAAAAGGCAATATTACGAAATTTATAACAAATTATAATTTGATTTTTTTTTTCTATTTACCTTTATGGAAAACAACATGCTTTATTTTTAACGGTAACGGTAATTTACCGTTTTGCTGAGACAAGATAAACTAGAGTGGGGTTACAATTATTTAAGTTTGACTAGAATCTTCTAATTTTTTAAGTCGTATGAACATATGAACAACAGAATTAATCGAGAGAAAAACATTCCGGCAATATAATCTTCTATGAAATAGGTATGAGTTTCTAGATATTTACAAGCCATTTTGGATGCGGATTCCCATCTGAATTCGTATGTGTTGTGCTTCACTATTTGATGCATCTCGGTTCTTCTAACAGTCTACTGTACAAGAGTATTGTTAGTCTGGGTCCACTGAAAAACACTTATGGGTGTCGTAATAAATTTTGCGTTATCCAAATCATACTCTATCGGCCCGGAAAGCTTCAGTGGTCCTACAGGAAACTGATAAAGAGGAGACATCATTACAATCATCATTATTACCTTCATCTCTTCGAGAAAACTATCTTTATGTAATTCCTTTTATTTATAAACAAAATGTAAAACAGACAGTCGTTTTACAAGAAATGGGTTAAGTTAGAGAATTTATCAGAAGTAGTGGATTCGAAAACAATGATAAACTCGAGACTAACGTCGCGCATTGATTATAGTTTACGAATCCACTATTTCTCATAAATTCTCTAATACATAAACAGCTGAATGGAGACAAACCAAAATAGACAGCATTTTAAAGCTTCATTCAAGTTTGTTTGAATTAATTAGCACAGCATACTAGTATCTTTTTGATTTACAATTATTATGTTTGTTTACTCTTTAAGTATATAAAATAAAACAATGTTTGAAAGCATATATTTTACATTGTTTTCTTTGATAGTTTCAATTCTGTATGTCAATGATATACATACGATTTGGATTTTACGCAGCGCCGAAATACCACCATTACTGGCGAACAAGCCTCCATATGCACTTCTTTTTTCGTCATGTGCATAACGTCCTCTTAAGATGAGTGTCTGCTTGCCGTTATAACCTCTGCCATCATATCCAATCCAACTGCATAACATGCGGTATATATAGATACATTTAAAATATAAGTTATAAATACTAAGTACTATGTATGTATAAATATACGTCTAAATAAAAGTCAATGATCTTTCTTACGAGGGCATCGGAGCGATATGAAAAACTATGCTGTTCACAATACATAAATATATAAACATATCTTATGAGTGGTCAAATTTTAGCAAGAAAGGAAAAGATGCATTAATCAGATCAGATTTATATGTGTCCAATATCTCTCCGTTAGGCGATATTCTAAATTGATATTTAATTTGTATGTAACAATACTCCGAAAATATTAGTTTTTTCCGAAACGTAAATAAATACTACTATCCAATGTTATTTTTAGCTCAACAAAAGGTATGGGTCCTGCTTTATGGATTATGTAAGGTGGCCTGTTTTTGTTGACATCCCTGTCCTTTGTTTGATAGTTATCTCACCGGAAATCATATAAGATCTCCTTACTTTCATTTTAAGTATTATTTTTTTGGGGCATTGTTCTCAATATACACCCATAATGCCGTAGTATAAGAAAAAAATATTAACTAGTAAATGATCAAAATCAATTCTTTATATCCTGTTACAAAATTGATAAAACTAATGTTTTGTTCAGCAAGTTTAATGTATCGAAATAATAACGATGAACTGAAATAACGTGTATATACTGTATAACATTCAGAGTGTAGACCAAATGGTTTGAAAGCTAAATAAATATAACAAATTGAAAGGATCAAGATGAAAGGTTTCTAAACAGTAGAGCCAATATAATTTTATGTCAACCCTACTTGAAGTGGTTGTAACCTCATCTAATTACAATTGCATAATTTGTTAACTGCAATTCATTGAAAAAGTATTATTTTAATAATGTCGATACCTAAAAAATGACAACTGGGTGGCTGGAAACCTCGGGATGGTATTTTTTGTTGTTTTTTTTTTTTTCATTTAAAACGAAGGAGTATATATATATATATATATATTTTATGAGTATATGTATTCATTGTGACATGATAGTCATATAATTTAATATGATAAATATGGTGTGGAGTACGTCAATAAGTATCAATCCAACGACGCAAAACATGAAAACGGTATCTGAGGTCTTCACAATTTGACAGATGACTACACAATAAGTCTTGATATTAATCGGTCCGAGTCTAAAAAGTTTTGAATAAGTTTTAAAAAACTTTTCATCGTCACCAAATTCTGACTTTAAAAATACACACGAACATCATTCATGTCTTTATCTCGATCAGTAAACAAATAAAGGGTTTGCTCATTGTTGAAGACCTGTAGTTGTTTATATATTTCTCATTGGTCCCTGGTCGTTATCATTAGTTATCATATGCCATTAGCTGCCCCTTCTTTGATTTTATTTAAAACTATTTCGTTTTTTTTTTTTATATTTACATCTTTTGATTTCGGGCAATAGTTTCGTAAAAAAAAATTCCCCTCATTAGGTTCGACACATATATTTTGCAGTAAAAATGTGTTATTGTAGTAGTTAACTTTAATTATTGTTTTGTATTTGTAGATTTACTACCATATATGCGGAGTCGTGAAGAGTCATGTCTATTCTGATATATCTGTATTTTCAATTATACCGATAAGTGTAATTTTTTCATCCGACGTAGCTTTTTGTTTTATTAACTTATTTTTAAGATATATAATATGTTCGTATGAGTATAGCACGTAGAACATATATCATGAAATCATTGACAACTATCAAAAGTTCTCAACCTGTTTATATGAAACTAAATTTTCTTTTGCACTAAAAATGAGAGAAATGATGATTCTCCCCAAAAATATCAATGACACAGTTTGCGAAACAGAAGTATAATTATAACCTTTATCAATAGATCTCTAAAGCGATAAAAATTTAAAGGACAAATCCTACTTTTGTACCTATCATAGTAATATAACCATAAGGTGTTATCATTTGGTTTTGTTTTGTTTTTTTAATTTCCGGCAGAAACAGTCATATCTTCACAATAAACCCCTATTTTGTGATGAAATTTAGTATTGGTTTTTCCCCAATATATGAGAAATATAAGTTTTTGTGCTAAAATTTCTTTAACTTTCTCTTTGATAGATAAAATGAATGTTGTATACACCGATCCATGAAATTTGAACAGGATATAAGAAGAATTTTAAGTTTCTTTTTGTTTTTGTATAAAATATGCGGAAGGAAAATTACAAACTCACGGAGCAAATATGTGGTCGTTGAATATTTCAATATATATATAGAGTCAGTCATATTTTGCACTTTTAAACTATTAAAACAATTGGTCCTCAGAATATGTTATTCCCTGATTGGATAACTCATTTCTTTTGTGTGTACCAATAGTTCGTAATACTCGTCGTAGATTTAGCTCAGTGTTGCTCAGTATTTGTTTTATTGTTTGTAAATATAAGTAAACCCTTAAATTGTGCGGTTCTAAAGAGATAAAGCAAATCATACTTGTAAGTTTAAGGTGCAAAAAGTGATGAACAACCAATCATTACTTACGCTCCTCTTGACACTTCTACAGACGAAACCTGGCGTAAAAATCTATAAGTACTTAGATCTGAAACATCTTTATGTAAGGTGGCTGTATGGCCACTATAATTTCCTTTGAAAATCTTGATTTCTGGTTCTGCGTAAAAATCCTTTAAAAAAATGCTAATATATTTCTAATGTGTCGTATTCGACAATAACATAGTATCTAACCAGTACAAGTTACATAGGCGACGGAGTAGTATACCGATGTGGTAAAATAGTAAACCAAGATAAAAAGCCGTAGGGATAGCATGAACAAACGGACCGAGCCTTGGTGTGTCGACAATGTAAGCGTCTCCTGATACGCAGATAACACCTAACACGCAAAGCCAGACTAATTAAAGAAATGTACAATATGGAATAGGACACAATCGGAGAGTTTACAGATCAAGAAAACAGACTGCGAAAACATGACTCTTGTTTAAACTTGCGAAGTGTCGATATAAATTAAAGAATTCTAACGTTAGTGGCACAGCTCATTTGGTGAAATTCGTATGTTAAAAGGGAGGGAAGATACCGAGATACACCATTATTTGTAGAAGAAAAACGGACACAACATGGCCGATAGAAATAGTGAAAAATCAAATAAAACAGAAACCTAAAGAGCAATAGAAACCCCATAAAAAAAATAACAAACAATAACACAAAAGATGTGAACTCAAGTGCTCATGCGGCTTTTAAAAAAGTGTGGGAGCTCGTAAGGACAAACATCTACCAACTGATTGTCTGGTTCAAGTACTAAAGATTTCCAATATTTTGCTTTGAGCGTTCCCGATAAAGGTAAATCTAGCAAAACACTTATACAATTTATAGTTTTATTTCATTTTCTAGCTCTAAGTCGATATCGCTGCTATCGGACTATCACATGTATTAGATCCCGAGGTTATCATCAGCGCAGTATTCAGTGCTTCGGACCTGTTTTAATTATCCGTTGATAAATTTTGGTATTAATTTAGAAACTCATGTTCCAACAAACACAGTCAAGGTTGACTTTATATAGTTTTGGCTATTATTTTTAGATCCCTACATAGCTCCTCACTTGTTTCGGTACTTATACATTCTTGGCTTTCACATTTTTGACTGTGAGCGTTCCTGATGAAGGTGAAAGCAGAAAAGCGTTTCGGACGCATAAAATTTAACAAGTATTATTTCATTTACTATATATAAAGATATAACTTGATGACAAAATATCGTATTGACAAATGTTTCATAAAACTTTCTTTATCACCATCGTTTAACAAATTTTCAGACTTATGTGTATATATATATTATATGAAATAACACTATAAATTGTATGAGTCCGAAGCCCTTTTCATGGTTAACCTTCATCGGGAAACCTTATAGCCAAAATTTGAAAGCCAAGGATTTATAAGTACCGAAACACAGAAGCGCTTCATGACCACAATGGACCTAAAATAATAGCCAACTCCATCTATTGTCAACTTGGCTTGAGGAAGTTGGAAACTTATAATTATCTTATTAATTAATTCGAAATCTATCGACGAATAATTTTGATATGTATGTTTTTAAACTGAACATCTATCTAACTATTTATCTATCTTTATTTACACACACATAAACATACATAGTCATCCAGGAGTTTTATCGACCTTGTCATTTTGTTAAACCAACGTAGATATTCTATCTTTTCTCCTTGAATTACCACCCAAATTTTGCCTCTAAAGTAAGGTTCTTGGAATAATACCCATCTGTAACGATATTAATTTTAAAAAGCAATACAATCAAGTTACAAATTCAACCTTGAAATATTATTGTTCTTTATGTTGATGCTAATTGGTTTCGATATTACCATTATATACGGTTTGAGACAAAAAATCACGAACCAAAATAAAAATAGATATTTTTATATGATCAGTAATCGTGTTTAAGATTTACATTTCTACTATCATCAACAAATTATTGATCAATTTTGCATTAATGTCAATCAAAACACAGGGGTCAACTATTTGGGAGTATATACAATTCTGGTAAAGTCTTACAAAATGTCAATTCTGTTGATACCAAAGATAACTCTGTTGACAGTCATGATTTTTTACTTTCTAGAGGGACCTGGGTTACAGAGTGATCCAAGTAGTGCATTTACGGTGATATCTAGCCTGTCAGCACTGAGTTTGTGTGTTAGATCTCGGGTTCGATAAATTAATCGACTAAGATTGTCAGCTTTGCTACCAAGGGTCGGGATTCTCTGCTGCGCAATAAGCTTCCCACACCAACAAAATTAGGCTGTCATGATATAGGCTATGAAACCAATATTATAAATCAATCTACTTTATTAATTACTCGTTCTGATATTCTGAACAATCGAATAATCTTTCATAAATGAATCATTATACATAGCTAAATAAGACACAAGGACTGAAGAAAGCGTAATTTGTTCAGATGTGCTAATATAAAAATGAGAAGGTGTGGTGTGATTGCCAATAAGACAGCTCTCCACAAGAGTTCATATGAAGTGGATATAAGCAACTATAAGTCACCGTTCGGCCTCCAATAATAAGGGAAAACCAAAACCGTAGAATGAGCTTTAAAAGGCCCAGACATACAAAATTTGAATAATTTAAAACGAGAAAATTAACGGCTGAATTTATCATATAACATTTTACGAAAAACAAATTTGACAGACATGAACCAACGACAGCTACTCAATTATAGACTCATGACTTGGGACAGGCACATACAGAATTTAGCGTGGGTTAAGAATGCTTGTGAGCGCTCAACTCTTCCCTTACCTGGGACAGTGGTGTAACAGCACAACATAAGAACGAACTGTTAAGATCAGTTGCAAATGGCTAAACTCAGGAAACCGATACGATCACAAAAACAACTAGCATAAAACAATAGACTCAAAGCATCGATATAAGAGTATTCGCAGTTACTGAGAACTATTTCAAACACAATTAAAACTAATACATAATTCATGTTTTCTCAGACTAAAATATCAATCAGTACACATCCAACGGATTTTGGATAAAAAGCGCCATAAACAGACTTAGAAACGCATGACCTTGTGTAATGCCAAAATATAAGTTGATAGTCTAGACAGGATGAAGGATCATGAGTTATCATAATTGTACATATATAGCAATATATATTTAGTTCTGTTTAAATTTTTCAAAACAAAATCAATGTTAGTAAAAACATCATTTAAAGATTTTACTACTGTGTTTGATTAAGAACCTTTAAAGAAAATTTTACTCAAAGGATCATTGAGTTTATATGGATCGTATCTAATTGTACGGGCTCCATAGACAACATCAACGTAAAACTTAGGATGCAATATCTCGTTTGTAGAAATAATTCATCAAGTACAGCGAAACTTCTTAACACAATCTAGGTATCTATGAAATAATTTGGTTAAGATTTTAATCAATTTGTGTTAACGAAATCTATGACATAATAATTTAGCAGTAATGAATTACGTTCATTGGAATCTAAAATGCGGCTAAAGACACATATATAAGTTGTATAAATACAAACCGTGAGAAGGGACCAAAGGAACAACATCGCCCAAAAAAGGGAAAATTAACAATCAGGAACGAAAAATCGTCTCTTTGTCGTAAATTTTGTATAGACTTTCCCGTGTGAAACCGATATATCTAAATCCAGAAAGGGAAAAATATTGCTGCCTGTATTAGATTTATTAAATGTAATTCCTTCGGTTAAATTTCCACAGTAAAATTAAAATTTAGATTATATAAAGAGAAAATATCATCAACGGTAGGTGTTTTTTAATTTGTCAATTAAATGGAATAAACAAATTTACAGCCTGACCAATAAATGGGAATTATAATACACTGAGTTTACATTCACAATTAGGACCACCTGATTTCATTCGTCACTACTCGATCTTTGTTGTCATTGTTATGTTATAAAAGCTATTTTTGTCTCTTCTTTCATTTGCTTTGGTAACCGAAAAAAGAGACAAAAGAGGGAGAAGATACTATGGGGACATTTAAAAATCATAGGTAGAAGAAAAAAATCTAATAATGTTTCCCTAAAAAAAGAAAAGGCAATCAACAGTCCACATGACATCACAATGAATCATAAAAAAAATTAGCAACACCAAAAACTGGGGTAGAACTCAGGTGATCGAATTTTAGTAATTCAACCGTCATTAGTGTTATATTGAGTAAATCGTATTATCTGGTTACTCTCATAAATACTTTTTAATAGAGTTATATGACAGTCAAACCATTAAATTTGATATGCAGCATCACTAACTGTTAATTATCAATAACACTAATGATATTCCTCATTTCAATGGTTTGCTAAGATTTTTATAGATTTTTTAAAAGAATTATTGCATTTAATCATGTTTACTTACACCCCTTCCTCAACTGTTACACCAACTGCTGTTTGGTCATATCCAACGTTCAGCATATCGGAACAGGAACCCGTCATTTCTTGAGTTGTACCCCCAAATTGTCTATCCGAATACAAAGTTATCTACAAACCATTCATCAGTAGTAATATTAAATAAAAAACAATATCGGAAAACAAATTGCTTTTCAATTGATATAATATTTAAACAAACGAAATATGCATAAGAGCGCTAACGTACGTTTAGTATATGTTATGCTTGGTCTGCACACAACTGTTCTAATGAAAAGATATCAAAACGAGGCTTTTCTTTCAATGTTTTCAGTTTTGCATTAAAAGCAATAAATAGGAATTTCGAATACCTAAAGCAAATATGTATGACGTAATTTAAAAATGCTTGATATAAAAACTTTTATCTGAATGACTAATTACAACTTTGGAACATATAAGCATGTCATTTTTAATTTGGTTTTGTTTCCCAATTCATGAGACAAATAAGTAGCCTGATAATTCTTTCTCCTTAATTTTGGGTAAAGAAATAGCATATATGATGATTGTTTGGAAATTTCAAAAGACGATATTTTGTGTTCACTCTTAATAACGCTGGTGTATTAAAATTAAATGAACCGAAATAACAGTGTATGAAGTGATGGTTTCAATGATATAAAAGTTTCAAACTGTATAGATATTAATGCCAAAATACAAGATGTAATGTTTTGATACTCGTTAATGCTTAACTTAAAAACAACAGGACGCATTACAATCATATTGATATATAGCTATAGTCGCATGATAAATTTTCAAGAAAAGATATGTTAACAACTATGATACCATATGGTAATATAAATGAAACAAGTACCTCCGCTAAGTGGTACAACACCCCTCTCTCCGCCTTAATGGATACGTTTGGCTTTTCTGTTGTTATCGCTCTGAATATGCATGATATATGTGTTACTGAATGTAAAACAAACAATAATCAATCATTGAGAATATTGTTGTGACATTCTGCTTTGTCACTTTTGTGTTTTCAATTAATGAACTTGATAAAACCAACTGTTTGATTGCGTACCGTAAACAAACTAGTTCTTGATGATACATATTTCCTCGTTTAGTCCATTCTGGCATATTTTACGTCAATTTATTTTTGTGATTTTCATATTGGGTGGATTGTTTATACTAAAATACCAGTTTGACATATTCGTAAAGGTTGTTATTGATCGTCTTGTTTTGTACATCACGAACATAATTCGATCACAAAAATAGTTGGTATATAAAAACAATAAAATCAGTAAATTCAAACTTCCTCTTCTGGCTCGATTTATTCTTATATTGTCTGTAAGTTATACAGGTATAACTATCATTTGTACAAATTGTGAAATATTGTATACTTTTTCAGTTTACTTAAACGGTGGAGTTAGAAATATAACTTTTAATTACGAAGTTGTAATACTTTATAGCTATCGTGATTGCGACTACAGTCACTTGTTTATACAAAGTGTGTAAAACATTTGAGAACTAAACTCTTAGCATTTACTTTTTTATATTTACGATACGACAGTTCTTCAAAAATTAGCATTTTCTTCTGAAGAATTACTGAAATGTTTAATAAAAGTTTACTGTTATGTAAATATATAAACCTCTTACCTTCGGCGCCATGACTTTCAAACTCTGGAAAATTAAAAAGAAAAGGCGTGTTTCACAAACTACCTAGTAAATTTTGGTAATTGTAAAATATAAAATCTGGGCACTATTATAGTGTTATAAACAGGCTGTTTCTGAATTGCTCCTGTATAAATTCGCGGTTAGCTGTTGTGGTCGCGAGACGCTATACTAGGGTCAATACAAAAACAGCCACTTCATAACACGTTTATTAAAGGATTCTATTTTTTGGATTAAACTAAGAAACTTGCCTTAATTTGTTTTTTAAAACAGATACAAGAACTCACATTTGAACTTAATAGTTTCCCAGTCACTATACATTTTTTGTCAATATTGATAAGATTCCTTATTTCTCGTCCAAGTTTTAAATTCATGCTAATGCAACTCATTTTATCTAGCAAATATAAAGTAGCTAGGAAGAATGAACCAGAATTTTACCATTTTAGTAAATATCGTCTGCGTGTCTTGTGATTGCTCAATAAAAATAAAACAATGATATTAATCGAAAGTTTCACTCGGAAAGGCTGTGAAATATTAGCGTTTTAAATCGTTACACAATTTGAATTCTATTATGTTGTTTTATGTTGTTTTATGTTACAAAATGTTATGATATACAATGTATCTGATGCAACATAGTATGTCTAAAATTTGCTGAGGAATAATAATAACTGGAACCAGAAGTAAATATCATGTATGAGCCTATTGTACATATTTACATAATGTTGGTCATTAAAAAACCGCAATAACCAAGAAAAGAACAAGATTTGAAAAAGCAAGATTTATATTTGCGTTGTTTTTCTACTCCCGAAATTCGCGAAATTAAATCGCTCGCGCATTCTTACAGTGTAAGTATTTAAAAATACTTAAACTAAGATAATTTTAGGTAACTTCAGGTAAAAATCAGACAGCCAGTTCTTAAACATTTCAATTAAGTGCACATAATGCAGATGTAAATTTTCATGTAAACCTTTTAATGTTTTTATTTTCTTTAACATTATAACGTATAAACAAGTACAATAATACAACTTACCTCAAAAGAAATTAATGCTTTTTTTTCGTCTACTTGACTCACAACAGAAAATGTAATCTGGAAGCGTCTTTTTTCTGTATTTATAGACAAACTGCCTCGGTAACACGCCCTAAAATGATATATATTGTTCTTACAAACAAATTCTCGGAAGATTTGATTGGTTCATTTAGTAGTTTAGATTGTACTTCACGAAAGACTTTACAGAATATTTTATTGTAGTTGAACTATACAATTCGTTTGAATTGTAACGTGTTTCTGTGAAAAAAAGATGGACTTAAACACACAACAATTTATTTAGTAACACGTAATTAATTAAACAGGCATGATTTTGAAGGGACTGATTCATTCGTTACTCTCAGTTGAAAAAAATAGAATGAGCTAGAATAACCCTAAAGCATCCATGTGAGCTTGCCGTGTTTTTGATTGAAATCAGTTAAATGTATGATCAATATTGAATAGACTAAAATAAAATAGGTTGAAATTAATTTAATATTAATTTTGTAAAAGAGCTTGTATGTTTAAAGAGAGGCAAAAGATACCAAAGGGATATTCAAATTCATAAGTCGAAAATAAACTGGCAACGCTATGGCTAAAAACGAAAAGATCATAAAGGTTAACAACAGTATACAAAGCACAACATAGAAAACTACAGACTGAGTAACACGAATCCTACCAAAAACTTGGGCCTGGACTTTTGATGTAAAAATACAATTTGCAATCAAGTTACAGTAACTGGCCTTGACACAGACTTTCATTTTGAGATTTTGCATATAACATCGGCATATTGACCTTGCAAATCGGACATTGATTTAAAATACCATTGAAACAGAAACTTACATGGCAACAAGTTATCGAATTTTAAGTAAAAGTATGTTGAAAGTATGTTGAGACATGGGTTTTTAAAGAATATTGCGACAATTTTTTTTCATAGGTTAACTTAATTCTTTACACATGTTAAAATATTATAAGAATTTTCATTAACTTATATTTTATCAAGTATAAGAGTTAAATGATTTTTGTTAAATTTTAACTTTAAGTACAACATGTCCTACTTGTTTGCCAAATTTTGTCAAAATCTGTGACAAGTTAAAATTTTGTCAGTTACGACAATAGCTAGGTAGATTGTATAGTTGTTTTGGACATCATCACAGTTAATTGCACAAATTGTATTGCTTTAATGAATTCATTGAATTTGTTTTATTAAAATCTAAGTTAACTCAAACTTTATTTTAAGGTCAACTTTTCTCTAAAACGTATTGACTGTGAAGTAAAAATTTACTACAATACGAACAACAGAGTTAATATAATAAAGATCATTGAAAACGTCTTGGCTAACTCGATTTACATTAGACTGATTAGTTCGATGCTATAGTTTTTCCACAGTTATAATACACGTTTTAACAAAAAACACTCCGTTACGCGATTTCGAGAAGTGCCTCGCTATCAAGGTGAGTGTATTTCAATTCAGAGACGACGGGGTATTTTCATAAATCCTTTTTCGATACAAAGACACTTTACATATGAATGTGTTAGATCACCAGTTATCCTACATTAACAATCTACCGGCGTATACACAAATGTGGCAGTGATAGACACTTTAGTCATCTCCGCAACACACACAAGAACATTAAACCAACTTTGACCTGAAAGGTTATGTTCACCTGAACAGTTCTTAAAATAATGAATAATAAATAATTTAGTCATGTTCAATCATTCAGTCAATTGTCGGACTCGTCCACTGCGGTAAATTCAGTACTGTTCAGACAATTCGCTTGCAGTCAATTAAGATCTGTTCAGTCTATGTTCAGGCAGTTTAGTAGTGATCATTTACTTGTACAAAGCAACAACCTACTGGATTGTCTGAAAAGCTACCGAACAGTACTATATTGACTGCAAGGCAAATGTCTCAACGGTACTAAATTTTCTTTTCTTAAGATCAAAGTGACCGTTTAAGACTAAAATATGATTGCTAGTGATTAAAAGTCACCAGGCAACATTAAAGGGACAAACCATATCTCCTTTCCAGGGGGATGTTATTCAACTCCTTAAAGATTTTGGATCAACTGGAACAACACAGCATCGTCGTACCTGTCGAAAACTGACTCTTCCAATGATTCCTCGTAAACGACTTCGAAATCATTGCCAAATGAAGCGAATACCGTCGTCCCATAAACTACAGTGGAAACACAAAGACTTCCCTCTCTCTGTATCCATTTGTTCAAACGTTGACGATTTCATTCGTCATCGGTGTATTATAGAATCCGACATCGACGTTTTAATTCGAGAGATGTTGGAATACATGACTCATATCGGTTACCACTCTCATAAATTGGCATAAGAGAAATTTGCCTGTGCTTTCGTCCGCTTCAACGGTTCACAATATCTCGAAAATTCAATGAAAGAGCGGGAAAAAATACTGAAAAGTCTAAAAAAGTAGAAAAACAAATTGGACGATTACTGTCAGCAAATCGTCTATTTGTGGTTTAATTCTGTCAAACACAACATCAGTCTCATAAAAATCCATATAGTCAACAAAATGTATGACTGACAAAAAGTGCTTACAATAAAGCCTAATAATCAATACGCTGGACTGAGCAACAAGTACTTCAAGATCCTAGACAGTGCACAATATCTTGCCGCTTATATGATTATATATATCAACTTCATCAAGTCATTTATATTTAATATAAAAGGTTAAGTTTTGATCCGTTTTAAAATGTAGCAGTTCATGTTTATTTGTAAGCTTAAAAACTTAGTTGTCAGATAGCATCGATAAACAATCATGACAATGGCAACATGTGTACTTTAACTGAAACATGTTTATGATGGCATTGCAAATTATGCAACTCGTGGTAGATTGCATGGAATAAATATGATAATGGAAGCATTATAGGTGTACAGCTACTAAAATGTATGGTCGGTTTAATTCCGAGTGCCCATATTTCACCTGTTTATTCAAAATACTGAACCGTTAGTAAAAATCAGTAGTCTTGATACATGTTTCTATAAAAACGTCTTGTAAAACAATGTTTGCCGAAACCAATCAAAACCGGCCATATTTGATTTGAATAATACAAATCATATGCCGGTATAATAAAACGATTTTTTTTTCATCCAAAATGGTTTGTATTATATAAATGATTGCACTATTGGTCATAATGACTTGAACATTTGTTGGCTTTAATTTAGAGTGCCAACATTTCCTCTATTTATACAAAATACTGAACCGTCACTAAAATTTAGTAGTTTTAGCAAAAAATATTTGCCAGCATCAATCAAAGAGAGGCGAAATATACCAAAGGGACATTCAAATTTATAAGTCGAACATAAACTGACAACGCCATGGCAAAAAAGGGATAAAGATTAAAAGACGAACAACAGAACACAAAACACAACATAGAAAACTAAAGACTGAGCGACACGAACCCTACTAAAAACCGGGGAGATCTCATGTGCTCCGGAAGGATGAGCAAATCCTGCTCCAAAACTGACCATATTTGAACTTTATAAGGAAAATTACATGCCGGTATCATGAATCAGTATATTTTGTAACTCAGGATAAATTTTTGTTCGGAAAATGGATAGCAATATAGGTACATTTTGACTACAGTATTGTTGTCTATAAATCACAGTGCCAAAATGTTCTCTTGTTATTTACAATACTGAACCGTTATTAAAGATCGTTAGTTTTGATATCTCAAGATGGTTTATATATTGTTCTTTATATTGGAAATTATATGACGATTTCTGATAAATCAGTTAATTTGGTACCTCACGGCCGATTGAAATATAAATGACAGCAATATTGGAAGACAAAACTGACATTTTCTGTCGGGTATAAATAAGAGTACCGAGATTTCTTCTTTTTATTCTAAATACGCAATTTGTCATTAGTCTTGGTATGTTTATAGGAAATATTGTATTACTGATTTGTTTTTTTTTTATTACTTTCCTAATGCAAACACAATCAAGAGCTGAATAGCCTGATATAATCGCAAATGGTGAGAAAGTTCAAAAGTGTTTCATACCTTACATATCCGAACACTAAACAACTTTCGTTTGAACACATCGTCGAAAGTGAGATCTTAAATCCAAGGCAAACAAAGTAAAAAACGAAGAAAAATACAGGTCAGACTGTTTTAAGAGGGGACTGTACCAAATGAGAAACGAAGCAACATAAAAATGTTGTTACTATCCCATCATACACATTTTTTTCAACGCTTTGAATAACCTTTTTATCCGTCTTCGAATTTAAAAAAACATTTCAAGTATATACATCTATGTTGATCGACAATGGTAAAACCGTTATTGTATTTATACAAAAATAAATGATATTCTTTGTTTTTACATTATATTAACGGAGTTTGTCTCTCGTGCTGTGTAGAGCCGTAGAAAATTTCCCCGTGCTTGGTATGTATGCTCTTCTGTATTTTTAAAGTTATGGTGTATTCATTCTTGATATAACTTCTCTTATGTGTGCCACATCATTCTTTCAATTTAAGGCCAGTTTGTGTACTAAAATGTTAATAAACGCACATCATCTATTCATGGCCCTTATGCCATCCACGTTAAATTTTTCACTTCCGAACATTATATGGGGGCGGGATCAATATACCGTTATTTATACATCAGACCGTACTGGTTACCGGAACATTGGATACACCAAACCAGGTACTTCATATCTGAGAAACAGGCAATATATGACCTCAATTTTAGAATTCATTCTTACATTTTTGTATTTTTTAAAATTATCAGTCAATATGTGTTCTACAAGGTACACCAGTCCTTCACCTTTCATTTGATACCTAAATAACTAAAATATGTTCTACGTAGTTTTATATTTACATCTATGCATAGGAACTATTTTGTTTTTAATATGTACTACTTTCCAGTATGTTCTTTTTTGACTGGACCCGATATGGTAGTGATACATCTTACAAAGTCTATCCGAATCATTTTGCAAAATTTTGAACAAGTGCTATAGACCGTCTTAAACTTGCAGTGAGGTTAAAGTTTCTTTTGCTCCGTGTTGAC